ACATCATAATAGTTCATTAGAACACAATCCATGAAACACAAACGGAGTATAAATAAAATATTTCTAACAATATGTAAAGCTCATGCCTCACTTCTTGCTATTTCATTCCAACAAAAGTAGAACTATTTATCTTTATCCAATTCCTCTAAAACAATGGTCTACTTTGTGATGATCCATTGCATAAAATCCCCAAAAAACACTGAAATTGGCTGTTTTTTTTCTTTTTGGAAAAGAAAAAACACAGTTGATAGAGATATAAGTTCTTTGGAAAATACTGCAATTGATATCCCCATTTCATTTTTGTTCTCAGATTAAAATCCTTTTTTCTCTAACTTTAAGCTACAACAATAAATAAAAAATTGTCTGAAACTGAATTGTTTACTAATCTATCTATCTTTCTTTCTCTTTCCTCTTACCACTATAAATGTTTAACTAAAGCTTTAACTCAAAAAGATGCCATCTTCTTGGAGATGCAGATTTGATATGATTGAAAAGGAGCAGCATGCAACAAAAAAAGAAGAAAGCCCTAACTACACCTTTGACTGACCCTCGGAAAGAAAAGCCAGACAAACTAACCTCCAGATAAAAGAGTAGAAATGGGAGAGCCCGGCTCCTGACACTGGCTGACAGCTCCAGCAGATTAAGGACTGCTAAGCAGTAGCTGAGAAGTGGTGGTGTTCAAAGAGCAGCCCGGCCTTATTTTAGGTTTCCTGGACTCCTTTCACTTCAGTGATGCAGGCTTGACTGCACCCAGTCGTTCAGTAGCCCCCCCCCCCCACCCCGCACTTCTGTGTCTAGAGATATGTTCGCTTAAGGGAAATGGCCATTAAAATGTCATTACTGCATCACTAAAATCATCATTTTTTTTTTTTTTTTTTCCAAAAAAGCACTGCTTCCCTGAGGCTTTTCATTGTTATGGGCTCGATGCATTCCCCCAGCATAGAGAAGAACCCTAATGTAGCGGAACACAAATGCTAATCTCTGTGTAAATATCATGAAAATTCACTCTCCTCTCTGCTTTTCAGTCTTAATAGCACAGATTCATTCTGTTTTTGCTCTGTGAAATTGAATTAATTCTCTAAGCAAAAGCAAAGGTGTTGTTATTATGGTCTCCCTGTGTGGGGACCTAATGGAGATGATTGCGGCATTTCCATTCAGACAGATTTTTCCTGATGCAGTATCTAAAAGGTTGCGGTAGTTTTTGCTATGGTTGAGCTATCAGTCGTGTGTGCTTAAAAAAAATGGATGATTTGGGAATGTATATTAAAAGTGGGCAGAAAGCCTGTGAGGACTGTGATGTAACACGAATCAATTCATTAGGCACCTAAGAAGGTGGAAGCACTTTGCCATTCGAGTCTCTTTGCACGATGAGATCATCTGAGTGGTAGTCCATCAAGCACCACTGAGGGAAGCTCATCTGAATCTGGTGTCCATGTCCGAGAAAGGGGAGTCCTTTTTTTCCTGCTTTAATCTAACATCTATTCTGCTCTCAGACTGAACCATGCTGTCTGAGCACCATTGAGAACTTTAGCAGGCCATATATCCAGCCAATTATACTAATCATCACCTTACCCTATCACCTCTGTACTTATTTACTTTATGATCTAGCTATTTCCAGTTCTGCTGACATTCTAGTGTTTTATTGTCTTTTTTAAAAACTCTTAATCAGCTATGAATAATGAAATATTGCTGCAAGCAAACGCTTTCACCCCTTCTTAGCATATGTGAAGCAGCAAAATAAATGCACATAGCTAATGAGATAATGGAATCAATACAGTTGTTTCTGCATTAGAGTAGAGAACAGCATGCAAAGGCGACCCCGTCTGCAAATGATCTCGACCTGCACTGACGGCCAGGAAGCGCTTTTCTCTGTGGTTTGGACAGGAGCAACCCGAGCAGAATCTTCGAGTTTAAGCGGGGCAAAACGGCATCAGAGGAATTACTGGCAGACAGGCCGTGTCTCTGCTGTGCTGTTGTCTCGTATGTGCTCTGTTTCCCTCCCTCACCCTTCTTCTGTGGCTTTCTGCCAGCCTGTAAATGGCTTTGACCTTTCCTGGGACTAAGGACAGGAGCCATGGAGGCAGAGGAGAGAACTGGCGGGAGGAAAGAGTAGAGTAGGCGGTTGACTGTAATAAACTCAGAGCAGTGGGCGGCTGTCAACACTAATAAATGGGAAAGGGGAGGAGGGTGGGCCAAAAGATGAATACTAAAGGTGCCTCAGTCCTCAGTTTATTGTCTCTTTTGACCAAGTTGAGGTGAATGAGATCTGATGCTCATAGAGACATCTCTCTGGATGTGATTATCATGATTTTACTAAGGTTCAGATCCAAATGCAGAAGACCAAACAGGGAGACCAGGGAAAAGGTTTAACAGGTTTTATTGAAGAGAAAATTCAGAGAGAAGTGTTGCTCTGAACACTGCTCAACCGGAACTGAAAAGTGAGGGGAAGACACAGCGGTTAGTTCAGGCTCAGTGGGAAATTTGACTCGTGAACTTGGAGAAGAGGATTTGGTTGCTGACTCACGTTTCCAGAGAAGTTGTTGAATCTTTGACTCCAGTCTGTATGCTGTTGTTCCAGCGTTTGTCTGATTCGGTGGAGGGCGGAACAGGGATTACCCCAGAATGCGGTTGTTAAAAGGTGAATGGAGAAAACTGACTGCCACTCAGATTTCCTGCGGTACTTGAACGGGTCGTAGTGGAGATTAATCCCTTTCTCAGTGCGAAGCTCAAACGATATCTTGGGGAAAGTGGATCCAGACCTCCAGTTTGAACCCCAGCTCAGTTTGTAGCTCAGTTGATCCTTCCAGGGAGAGAAGGTTCGAAAAAATCTAGTTAGCAGGATGACTTCCTGCCGAGAGGCATAAGACAAACAATGTTAAAACTCAGGTTGACAAGAACTCAGTTTGACTCAGCAAAACTCAGCTTGGCTAGAGTACCCAAAACTGGCAAACACTCTGGCGTCGAGGTAGTGGCAGTCAGCAGCTTAAGAACACTCCGTTAACGAAGTAACCATCAGAACCAGGCGCCTCCTGGTGGAGGAAGGGAGACAAACACAGAAAACACAAACAGACAGACATGAGTCCTGACAGTGATTATTTTTGCCAAATGAAGAAACATGCAGTAGGACATCCAATGAGACTACTGAGCCCAAGAGAATAAAAAAGTAAAGCTATCCCATATATGATGACAGCCATAATAAATACAGGCCTGTACTTTACTATTTGCATTCATACCTAATCGTTTTGTTTTTATGCAGACAATACAGTTTTGTGTCTTTAACACATACCTTGACCTCTTTGATTGTTTCAATATGTCTTCTTATGTCCATTTACAATAAGGCCAAGTGAAGTTATGTTTTAATGTAAAACCTTTAAACCTGTGGTGTCCTCTAAAAGGTTCAAATCAAGGATGTTCAAGGTGGCAGAGAGTAAAACTGTAACACGTGTCAACCATTTGGGTTTCTTTGGAAATCTTGTTTCTCACTGAAAAAAGACATAATTTTGGGCAACAGTGGTGCTACAAGGGTGGAGCCCACAACCTGTTTATGGAGGCCTTAAGCCCTTGACATGTCGTTCCCGGGGGAGATTTGAAGCCCATGAACCTTTGCCACTTGTATTTCCTCCCAACCTGAATCCCTTTTTATGTCAGACCAGTTTAGAGAATAAACAAAAAACATTAGTCTACAGTAGTAGCCATTCAAAATTTCCCCTATTTCCTTTATGGGCCCTTGGCTGGTCTCCTACATTTCCTTTTTAAACATCAATCTTTGTACTAAAATATTCTTCCTGTCAGAATTTGTGGACATTAAGATCTAAAGAGAAGCACCTTCTCCCTAGCCTCGTGAGACCATCCTGATCTCGCGAGCTTTCAAGGTTTTACTCGCAGATCAGTCTGGAGACTCTCCGTTAAAGAATTGGAAAATTGGAGCCGTTCACCAAACGAACGTCCAATCAGCGTTGGCTTTGAGGCGGGTTGAGGTGTGACACAACGAGAAGCACGACAGTTCAGTCTAAAGAACATGGCGGCTTTAGCCGATGAAACTAGCGTTAGCGTGGCTATCGAGCAAGTTTTATCGGAATTACAGAGTATTTCTTCACTGAATAAAGGGCAAAACACTGCTCTGGAGGCTTTTCTCAGAGGAAAAGATGTTTTTGCTCTTCTTCCGACTGGTTTCGGGAAGAGTTTGATCTATCAATTGGCTCCTCTTCATCGACGCTCTGTTTGTACGTCATATGCTTTGTTGATCTGATTGGTTTATTTGGCCCGTCTATCACCAACATAGGCCAATCAGCTAACCAGTATTTTCGCCCCTTCCCAAAATTACTTCAACGGAAGGTTTTCAGATGGATATGCGGAGCAAATCCGTCTGGCGGAGTCAGGTTACCTTTTCCCTGTCAGACCCTGTAATTCATCGAAAGGGTGTAGTCAGAGTATAAAAATGTTCATGCCCAGGAGAAGGATGGAGTTAATCCAGTGGCTTGAAGTTGGAGGGGATTTTGCTGGGAGTCACAGGGAAGTGGGCTGCCATTTGACTGGGAAAGGCCATTTTGAATGGCTGCTACTGTACTGTAAAAAATGTAAATTAACTCATGATATTATTCACTGTAGTTGAGCATCTGTTTACTAACTGACTTGTTGGGAATGTTCACACCTGCCATGTTTAGTTCACTTTAAATAAATTTTATTACGCTCTTCGTTTGGAACTTTGTGCAGGTGTGACCGAAAACTGCGCACTCAAGCAAACCCTGTTCTGGATCAAACAACTGTTCCGATAACAAATTCTTAAGATAATCTAGGTCCAGTCCAAACAGAATCTGATATGTTTAGCAATCACAACCAAGAAGAAACAATCTGTCTTGATTTCTAAATAAAAGGGAAGAGAATCTAGATTCAACACAAACGTTCAAATACCTTTAAAGGAGATTTCTATATTTGTGTTATAATGCTTTGATAATCGGCCTCTCTCTTCTAACCAAGCTTGCTTTGTTCTCTGTTTGCAGGAACGGGGAAAGGTCGGCGTGATCTTCAACGTGGGAACGGACGACATCACCATTGAGGAGAGCGCGGTGATGGTGAGCGACGGAAAGTACCATGTGGTGCGATTCACACGCAGTGGCGGCAACGCCACACTGCAGGTGGACAACCAGCCCGTCATCGAGCGTTTCCCCTCAGGTAGGCCCCGGGCCCCTGTTCTGGGCTTTACTTGAATCAGAACTGTGGTGAATTTTGCTCACAAGTCGGAGGAAGACAGTGGAGAGAGAAACAAGGAGCTTGATAAAACAGTTATAACCTCATCTTGCGGTTTTAATTTGACTTTTTCTTTCTTTGTGACCCTAGAGAATGCTTGTTTTTATTCAAACCGATTAAGTTAGGTTCTGGTCCAAAAGGCAGGAAGAACCAAAAAGCCTTCCTGAGGCAAGTAATCTTCAATCTAAGAGCATCAGCTCTGTGCAGTTAGTCTACCGTTGTAGCCAGTGGCACTGTAGAGCCAGGAATGGATGGAGGTCAACGGAATACTAATATCCCAAGCAGGATGCTGAGCAATATCTTCAAGGAAGAAAAACTTTTTATCCTGTGAAAGTACAAGGTGACGTCTCTGCTTTGGCTTCTCTACATAGAAAAGCTCAATTTTTTTTCTTTAAATACGACATTTAAATGAGAGCAAACACCCTATGAGTCACCACAGGCAGTGTGTTAATTCCCACACCAGTCGTTAAGACATAATCACGCTTTTCTAGTCCTGCCGGAATTTTTTTGCCTGTTTCTCGTGATTCAGAAGCTCAGAGTAAATTTCTCTCTTCACTGTCCCCCACCCCACCCACTTGTACGTGGTTGTTCAAAGGAAAGCATGTCTTGTTTTTGTTCCCAGCTTGAGTTTGCATATGGTAAACACCAGGGTGTGCTGGACTCTCAGCCTACATTAATGATGATGTTGAATCTAAGTGGCCTGAATACAAAATTAGATTTTTTTTCTCCCTTTCCTCACAGCCCCGTCAATATCACCTTTCATCTCCATTATCTAAAAGTGCCTTTCTTGTAACGGCATTATTCAAACGCTGCGACTCTACCCGTGATTTGTTTCTTCTTCTTGACATGAACTATGGAGCTAAAAAGACAGCAGTGATCCCATATTTGGGGGTTCAGTTTTGGCATTGAGAGACGCACTCTGTTGCTCATCCATCAGCGCAGCGAGGCCAGACTGAGGGGCATGCATCAGAGCCAGAGGAGGAAGCGCCTTGTGACAGTTCACTCTTTTCACTTGTTATTATGATGGAAATGCAGCCCTTTTCACCACAGCACATGCTCCAAAGATAGCACAAGCTGCTCATAGAGGGAACAGCAGAAGCAGCCTGTTAACACCAACAACTTAGTGTCATCATCCAGATCGGGGTTTTCATTTCATCAAGAAACATGAATGCACAGAACATAATGTATTCTTTTCATTCCTTTTCCCTTTCCGCCCTCCCCTGCCGCTGCACTTGTCCTCATCAAACGCGCCTTTCCTTTTCCTCCGTTGATCAACAACTGAAGGCTGTCATTTTGTTTTGGTTTGTTAGTTTATCAGCTGAGTTTAGCGTGTGCCCGGCGGGTGTTCGGGGCTTAAATGAAGTTTGAGAAGGTTATGAGGACTACGGGAAGAGATCGGATGTGCTGTGATTCATTCAGTGTAGCTTTTTGGGGAAGACTATTGTCTTCACTTTCTGGCTCTGTAGTATTCTGGTGAAAAGAGATTTTTTTACAGAATAGGGAGTCTTGGATGAGGCTAGGATGCAATAAAAAGTGGAGGGCATTTGGAGACTTCCTTGGTGACAAATGAGGTGCGCCAAAAGGGGTGGAAGGAGAAGCAAGCTCTGGAATAAGATGATACATAACACAAGGTGAAGAAATTCTCCAAAAGATGAATCCTTTTAGCTTCTACAAAAAACAGTCAAAGACGTTACTGCTACAAAAAAGGATTTAAGCTGCTCTATAGTTTCATAAACCTCCAACTGTTTTATCGAATGTCTCTTTATTGAGGAATTATTCAGCTAGGGTTTTTATTTCAGTATCTAGATCTTGATGCAAATGATCACAGAATATAGACAAACTTTTGACACTAAAGTTCTTGCCCGTGTCATGGTCTTGGTTCTGTTGTGCTTTACTTTACTCCTTGTTTTCTAGTTTTATTTTGTTTTATTTTGTTATAATATTTTCCTATTTTGTTGTAGTTTCTAGATTTATGTTAGTTCTCTGGTTTTCTGTTTTCCTCTGTTGCCCTCTTGTGTGTTTTCCTTTACCCTTGGCTCCCTTGTTGTCTCCTCACACCTGCTCCTTGTCAGCTCGTTAGCCCTGCCTTTGTCTGTCAGCTACATATACTCTCCCTCTGCAGTCACTCCTTGTTGGTTCCTTGTTGTTGTTGGTCCTGTCGTCGCCGTTGTCCTCTCACCTCGTCTCTCCCTGGCTCCTTGTGCACGTTTCTCTTGATGTCTCCGTGGTTCTGGTCTGAGTTACATTTTAGTTGGATTTTAGGATTTTGCCTCTGTTATTAGTGTTTTTTTTATTAAAACTACAATAATTCACCTCAGCCTCTCTGCCTATGCACTTTGGGTCCTCTTAACTACAACCAAGACGTGACAGCCCAGGAATCAGCTCTGGAGCACAACATGAACGACTTAGGGTATAGATTACGGATGGACCGACACATCAGCTGCCTGATATTTTTAGCTGATATAATTTTTTTCTTGTATCAGCACCTGCCGATACGTGCGCATATTGACCGAAGTGCTCTCAACAGCCACACCTTGAAATCATGTAGAGGACATGTCAAGAGACTGAGAATGTATAACCCAATATTGAAGGAGAGACAGACAGTGGGAAAATTAAAAGCGTTTATTAAAATCAGAACGCAGTGCTGTGGATCTTCAGCGGCTGTAGGGAGAGGCGGGGGCATTAGTTGCAACTCTGGTTAGAGAGAAAGACAGATAAGTGACCAAGATGATTATCCATGTGAGTCCCTTACAGTACCTGGTTCAACAGTTCAGTCCAACTACTAAGAGTGAGGCAGGATCCAGCCGATGGAGTGGCAATGAGTTGAGTCGGGCACCTCTCAGAGTGAATCAGAGGCTGCAGCCCCAGTGAAGAAGCCTGAATCTGAGCTAGGTCAGAGAAACAGTTCAGAACAGATAGGCTCAGAGATCCAGCAGTCCGTAGCTCGGTCAGGGGTTCCGATCAGAACAGGAACAGTCAGGTCGAGTGTTCCAGGAGTCCACAGAGAGTTCAGGCAGAACATTTGGATGGAAAATGGCAAGCTCAGTAGTAGAGAGGCAGAACAAGGCATGATAACAGGAAAACTACGGTACACTAAAACTCGAAATGATCAGGAACTCTACGAAATACTAAAAACTAGGGGTGTAAATCACACCCATCATGGCGATTCGATTCAGTATCGATTTCCTGACCCAACGATTCGATTATTTTCGATACTCAAGAATACACCACCATTCGATTTGATTAATTGGTTAATTTTATTGTTTTTTTTTTTTACACTTTACAGGCTAGACAATGTTTCAAATTGGAAATAAATCAATGAAAGCTGTAATATCGTTCTGCATTTTTTTTTGAGAAAAAAAACCTACAGAAAATAACAGAAGTAGAGACGTTGCACTCCACTTATCCCTATTAAAACCTCATTCACTGAAAAATAATAATACCCCTGTGTTATAGATTCTGAATGGCCTTGCATCAAAAAATACTGCACAAAATCAGTGCAATTCCATACCTCGGCTCCAGACGTCTCCGCCCCCTCCGCAGACGCTCGCTGCACCTCTCCCAAATTGTAGCAGACGGCAAACAGTGTCGCAGACAGGAGGCCGGCTTGTTTTGTTTTCATGACTGAAATTGCGGAAAACAACTCTGAAGTTTGACCCGCTAGAAGAGCGAGGTGCGCGAGAAAGCTGGGACCCTTTTTCCACCTGGATCTCTGCTCTTTTTGGCCCTCATGTCCCTCCGTCGTCGGACTAAACTCGCCCCCACTTCCTCGCTGCCTCGGCCGTATCTAGACCCACAGCATGTAGCACAGACCACGCTTCAATATTTAGCATAAATCGAAAATGCCTGTGTCAAGCTCACTGAAACACACTGCTGTAAGAGCATAACCAGGAAGCGAGGTAGGAGGGCAAAATAGGTATAGCGCCACCGCAGCACAGGAGGGAGAATTACGTCCAGGAGCAAATGGATAAAAATAGACCGGAGGGAAAAAAAACATGAATAGATACTCTTGCGGACATATCGATCAGAGATGGCAAAAGTACTCACTTTCTGTACTCGAGCAAAAGTACAGATACTTGTGTTAAAAAATACTCTGGTAAAAGTGGAAGTACTGATTAAACTTCTTTACTCAAGTAAAAGTAACAAAGTACAGGCTTGTAAATTTACTTAAAGTATAAAAGTAAAAGTAGAAACCACTTTTTTCATGCTGTTGCCTACATTTTAAATGGATGTCTGCCAATAGGACTAGATCTCCGTTGTGTTCATTTTCAATCATCTCGTCGTCCATACTACTATGCTAACGCCACCGCCACCAAGCTGCAATGATTTGCCGCCAATGAATACCGCCGAATCTGTCGATTCATCTTGTAGTGGTGCGTCAAATGCAACGTAGATTCCCATCCAATTAGATTGAATTTGGTATTGATGACGTGAAAAATAATAACGGGAACTCCTTTGAAATGATTCAAAACTAAAGTAACGAAACAATTTTTAAAATGTAAGGAGTAGAAAGTACAGATATTTGTGTAAAAATGTAAGGAGTAGAAGTAAAAAGTCGCCATAAAAATAAGTAGTAAAGTAAAGTAAAAATATCAGAAAAAAGTTACTTGAGTACAGTAACGAAGTATTTGTACTTCGTTACTTCCCATCTCTGATATCGATGCATCGGATCGTCGGCTGTTGGATCGATGCATCGATACAAAACGATTATTATTTACACCCCTACTGAAAAACCCCTCTCACCACAGGCCTCCGAGAACGAGAATATGAACTATGGCCTCATAAATGATCCAAAATTCAAACTCAAAGTAAAACTCAAAAACACATCAGTAATCTAAGCAACAATGATCTGTCCCTGATAGCTTTGAATGAGCCGTATATAAAGCAGCAGGAGCAGGCGGATAAGATGAGTGATAAATGGTAAC